GATAAGTCATCAGCAATTAGGTAGTAGCTGAAGCCGCAGAGCTAAGATATTACTGAGAAAGTATTGTAAAGTAAGAAATTTTGGTGATAGACCATGGAGAATACCAACATCCAGAAAATCGGAGGAAAGAGAAAAATCAAGGAAAGGCTAGGAAGGTTCAAGCAGAAAAACAAAACAAAAAAGGAAAAGCCAGTGGCTATAATACTGCAGAGAAGCCAAGTATGCTAGCACATGCCTGTAATCTCAGCACTCTGGGAGGCTGAGGCAGGAGGATTGTAAGTTCAGGCTCAGCCTGGGCAACTTAGTGGCTTAGTGAGATCCTGTCTCAAAAATTTTAAAAAATGCTAAGGATGTAACACTGTGTGAACACCCTGGGTTCAGTCACCAGTCCCACCAGAAACTCTGCAAAGAAATTAGGTAGAAAGGGGAGGTGAGATACTGATTTATAGTGAGGAGGTCACTTATGTCTTTGGCAAAATAAGTTTCAACAGTGGCACTGGATGCTGCCACTGGCCTGCAGAGTCACTCTGGGTGCTGTGCACCACAACACAGTTGCTACAGGCTCGGGATGTTCTAGGTGGTGCAGAGGGGCTGCAGGACCACAATCTTCTCGACTTAGTGGTCATTGTCCCCTCGTGTGTCAGAGCAGCAAATCACCCTGCTGGGAGGCACTGAGCCCACAGTCCTACTTTCTGCTCCACTGTAGTAGTATTTGGCACGCCAGAAATGCCACTATAGTTCGGGGGCGACCTTCTTTGTTGCAGTCGAGTTCCCAAAAGAAACACGTAGCCTAGCATAGTGGTACAGGTCTTTAATCCCAGAACTTGAGAGGCTGAGGCAGGACCATAGCCATGAGTTCGAGGACATCCTGACCTACATAGTGAGACTCAGACAACCCTCAAAATTAATACATAATCATTACCAACTAGCATTACTAGGTTTTCCATACAGCTAAATTAGAAGTAGAACAAAGATTGTACCTACTCTTGTCTTCTGTGGATGTGTGTGTTTCTAAAGAATCTCTGGTGAACTGGCAGTGGCAATTGGATCCCCTAACGCCCATCTGTAACACTCCACCCATGTGACTTCATGCCCAGAACTCTTCCTTCATGATGCCAGGGTTTATTGTCTGTGCATGTGTTTCCTTGTGTATTACAGGTACATTACTGACTTAAAAGCATCTCAGATGTTGACCCATTTGCTGTAATAAAGTGACTAATGGGCTCTTTTTTCCAAAGACCCCCAGATTTAAAAAAAAAGTTTCAGCAGCATGTTAGATACAGAGTTTGTATTTACAGTTGTGGGTTGAAAAGTGACTGGATACAATTTAACAAATGGGTTAGTATCCACAGTATATCAAAAAATTAGAAATCAGTAAGAGAAAAAATGGAAAAACTCATTACTAATAAAGGAAATGAAAATTAAGAGACACCATGTTATAAGATTGCAGAAATTAACAATATCAAATGTAAGAACAAATGTGGATCAGTAGAGGTATATATTGTCAGTGGAGTGTGAATTGATAAAGCTTTGAAGAGCAGTGTTGGTGCCATCTTATAAAGTTGAATATTAATATACCTTAGCAGTTTGGTCCAAGTGTGTGTGTCCTAGAGAAAGTCTGTACATGTGTGCTAGGAATGTGTACAGTAACATGGAAGGAGTAAGGAAGTAACTCAAAAGTTTGTCAAAATCAGTAAGTAAATTGTGATATAGTCTCACATTATTCTCAATTTAAGGTTTAAACTTAATAAGGTTTATTACTAAGTTTGTTTAAATATTGCTGTATTTAACAGCAGAAACAAAATGATAACTAGTAAAACAAAGCAACACAGAATACTATTATTTTTTTAACCAGTTAATTAATTTTAGTCAGTTAATTATCAGTGGTGCCTAGTAAGTACCACTTGATTTTTATATCCTATGCTAAGTACTTTGCAAAAAAACATATTTGAAAAATTTATTTAATAAATGCTTATACATCACTTAGACTATACCATTTTTATAACTTTACAAATATTCCATTTAGTCACACATATAAAATAGGATTTTTTTAAAGCTTAAAAATAAGCAAAATTAAATAATATATTATCCAGAGATACAGGCATGTCATTGGAGAAAAGAGAGTGACCTTAAATTCAGAACAGTGGTCACTTCTGGAAGGAACAAATGTATCACAGTAATAATGATGTTATAGTTCTTTTGTATCTCATTTAAACATAAATTCAGAATAAACATTAGAAATAATCATCATATGTGGCAGTGGCTATCATTTTGGACAGCATAAATAGTGAATATTGGATTTCATCTGGATTTAATGATAGTGGAAGAATGGCAAGAATTGGGACAATAAGTGCCCAGTTGAAATGTGCTTTTTGCCTCCGAAGCCTTCTCTGATCTCATCAGCAGGCAGTGACATTGTCATCATTTGCTTTAACCTTTTACTTTTAATCTGTCTTTTATTAATATTATTAATGTACATGTGCTAATATCCCTAATTCCCTTTCCTTGAAGAACCTTTTAGCTCTCCTTAAGGAGACTGCAGTTCTTAAATTGACTGGTTTTTCACAGATGTTGTTAACAGATATTACATGTGTAAAAGGATAATTTCTTAAAGATGAATTAATGGTTATCACCCAAATATAAAAAGCAGTGTAGGGCTGGGGATTTAGCTCAGTGGTTTCGCCACCTGCTGTGCAAGTGCAAGGACCTGAGTTCAATCCCTGGTACAAAAAAAAAAAAAAAGCAGTGTATGTCCAAAGGTTTTGTTTAAATCACTAAATCTTAGGGGAATCAGGAAGATACAGCCATTTACTTCAAGAGATAATTTAAAGTAATATAAGTAATTAGAAATGCTGAAATGAATTCATAAATAGTTGCTAAATTGGTAAGCATCCATAGGACAAGTAATCAGATACATCCTACTGGACATAATTCATTGGCATTGTTACAGTCAAGAATTTGTATTCCTATCAGTCCCAGGACAGGCACAGTGGTACATACCTATTCAGTAATCCTAGCTACTCAGGAGGCTAAGACAGGAAAATCACAAATTGGAGGTCACCCTGGGCAACTTAGGGAGACACTCTCCAAAAAGAAAAAAGGCAATCGGGCTGGGATGCAAAGCAGCTCAGTGGTTGAACACAATGAATGAATTTTTATTATTACCAGCTTTACAATTTGCAAAATAGTTCACAAGGGCTAAAGGATGCACTGGAGACAGGATACCTAGTACATTTTTATCTTTTTTGCCCATTTCAAGGTCTTTTTGAAGTTCTTCCAGATCCGTGTAAACTTTTTATGTGCATCCAGATATTACAGTAGAAATAAAGGGTAAAATAAATAAGTATATTGTTCTGTGTTTCCCCTGCAAGGTGTTTATTGAAGCTCCCTTTCTTGAAGGGATCAGATTTGAAGAAAGGGTTGCTTGTTTTCTTAAGTAGAGAGAAATTAAGTGTATATATTGGCTGTAAGAAGGGATTCACTAGGAAGGAGGTGAATGTTTGGAAAGAGGCAGTAGCAGTTACATTCAGTATTGCAATTTAGATTTGGAAAAAGGAGAGAGAGATTCTCTTCTGAGATTGAAGGAAGTGAAAAAGTCCAAGGCTGTAGATTCATTGGAAGACATAGGGGAAAATATACTTAAGGTTGGTGGCTTAGAGAATACAATGGTGCCTTGGTTCATAAACTTAATTCTTTCCACAATTCTAGTCATAAACCAAATTGGACAAGAATCAAATCAAATTCAGTAGTTAGGTTCTATGTTGACCTTATGGGGAAATTTGGCACTGAACTGGATATATAAGATAGAAGATTTGAATGGGCAGAGATGTATCTAGAAAACATTCACAGTAGGAGAAAACGGCATATATAATAACATGGGCTTATTTAGAATATTGTGTGTCATTTTGGTTCCATTGACCCTGACAGTTCGTGAAAGTAGAATAAAAAGTAGAAAAGTACACATTTTTTCTCTCCTACTATAATTGTCTTACACATTTTACATGTGAGTGGTAAACTCTCAAGGAAGTATTTTAAAGTGGTGACCTTCCATGTTTGAGAGTAATTCAACCAAATTATTTTGGGAAATGTGTTATTTTTATTGGTAAAAGGAAACATGAAGGGAATGGGAAAATTGAACTATAGTCACATTCAAAACTCCACTTGTTAGTCAGGTGGTGTGGTGCACACCTGTAATCCTAGCACTTGGGAGGCTGAGGCAGGAGAATCTCAGCAAGTTCCAGGCCATCCAGGGCTACATAGTGAGTTCAAGGCCAGGCCAAAAAGAAAAAAAAATCGAGTTGTTGATCTTTAAACCTAAGAAATTTCTACCAGATTGAGACAATTTTCAAAGTACTGCAGTTAGGACTCACTCCAGTAGTAGTTACAATAGTAGCAGTCAATTCAAGATACGGGTATAAGACAAATATTAAGTAACTTGCCTATGTTAGGCACTGGCTTGTCTAGCTATAATTCTTAACCATAATAAAGCTTGAAAAATAGGTAATGAAGGGCTGGGGATTTAGCTCAGTGATTTCACTGCCTGCTGTGCAAGTGCAAGGACCCGAGTTCAATCCCTGGTACCAAAAAAAAAAAAAAAAAGAAAGAAAAATAGGTAATGGTAATGGGTGTTAGATGTAAAAACTGAGATTCAAAATTTAAAATGTCCTCTTCATACAATTAGTCAGAAGCAAAGCCAGTTCAGCCTCTTTCCTTTTTAAATGCCTTACATGCCAGAGTTTATAATTGCAGCCTTAAACATATTTAAAAACAGTATCATAAGAAGATATTTACAAGGAATGTATTATGTCTATGTCTGACCCCAGCTTTATGGAACTCTAGGCCCCAAGTTACCATATGTTACTAATACATTAATGATGATATATTCTAAATATGGCAGACATTGGAATGTATATATAAATGAACTTTTTCTCCTCCTTCACTTTGTCATGTTCTTCCAAACTACAAGTAAGAAAACATTCTTTTATCTAACTTTCTTTCAGGTATCTATTTGTCAGATTTAACATACATTGATTCAGCATATCCATCAACTGGCAGCATTCTAGAAAATGAGCAAAGAACAAATTTAATGAATAACATCCTGCGGATAATTTCTGATTTACAGCAGTCCTGTGAATATGGTAAGTTTCTGAGAGATAACATTAAGCCATTATCATGCTATGGTTTCATTGATTCACTGACACGTATTGATGACCACTTCTCACACAGGGAATATCACTTTCTTATTCCACTATAACATAAAGGAAAATTGTGGTCTTTTACTTCAGCATTTACTATTTAGCATTGTGTTTTGTTTTGATGATACAGGATCTCCTTGTGTTGCCCAGGCTGGCCTTAAACTGTTGCACTTAATGAATCCTCTTCCCTCAGCTTCCTGAGTAATGGGGGTTACAGTTTTACTTCATGATGCCCAGCTTAACATCCTAAGATTTATTTTTTAATAAATTTAAATTTTTCATTTTTATATTTTTTCTGCTGTTTTACAGTAGCTTTGCTTACAAAGCACAAGGATAATAAGTATTTAATATTACCACTTCACAATATTTAGCCTTTTATAAAGTTTTTGAAGTTATTTTCTGTTCATCTCATTTAATCACTATTTTGTAGTTAGTTCTTATATTTTTCAATTAAGAAAGTAGCTGAGAGCATTGTTCTCTAGTAACAGTTGACTTTCTTGAATCAGACATTGAGCGAACCAGTTTTTGTCCAAGATGTAGTTTATGGAATGACATACTTTGAAAAATAATAAGTAAGCCCAAATAATTAGAAAAGTAAGATTTTTTAACTGTTTAGATTGCTTTCATCTTGATAGGGTGTAAAGATAGACTCAGCCATTGAAGCCATTAAGTAGTTCCAAATGTCCATAAACTGACATCACTTTTAGGGTTTGGAAAAAGTGCATTTAAATAAATGATTTCACATAAGTATGTCTTAAAACATTTTGCATATATGCAGCTCTACTTTTTAAAGACCTTCCTGAATGAGGGAGGTGGGTAGGACTATATTGAAAGCTAAATCTCTTATCTGCCCTTTTCTCAATTTTTTAGACACCATCTCAGTAATGCTAACTTAATCTTGTTTGAAATTTGTAATTGGGTAGGGGGACACTTTATAAATGGGAGCCAGGTTCCTTTAAAAGAAAAATAACTGTCCTCATTTCTTACGTTGAGGCTTAACTATAAATCAAAATGAAGTCTCTCTGATTTTTTTTCTATGAAGTCTCTCAAATATTTGGGATTTTATAATTGGAGCTGGTGATTGTTTTTATTATATATACAAGCAGCATGCAGCTAAAACTTTTTAAATTACCTTCAGCTTTACTTTAAATAAAATTTATCTCAGTAATGTTCTCCTACAGTTAATTTCAATTTTGGTGCCATGTGGCCTTAATTTTTCTTTAATTATTTTTCTCAGTTTAACTTTTCAGTTCTCTTTAACGTATACTTTATTGGATAATTATTTATCACCTTTTGCCTAGATATTCCCATGTTGCCTCACGTCCAAAAATATCTGAACTCTGTTCAGTACATAGAAGAACTACAAAAATTTGTGGAAGATGATAATTACAAGTAGGTTGGATCTTCAGAATTGGTTTGTACTTTGTCCTGTCCTCCACTCTTTTATTTAAACATCTGAATGTCTTGTTATTCCTAAAACCTACATTATATATGGGTACCTATTCTAGTGGTGCATTAACAGTGGTAGAGGTACATAACATACTTCTTTTTAATCACTTGGTATTATTGAATCAATCTATAAATGTCATTTGTTCCTGTATTTAAAAGTATTTTATCTTTGTCAAGTTGTAGAGAGCTGAAGTTTGATACTTCAAACTTAAATTTCTTTCTCCATATTCAATTATTGAATCTTTATGGAAGTATTTTTTAATAGAAACATTACTGAAACGGTCTATAAAATAGAAAAATTATTTTTAGTGATAATTTTTGGACACATCATTCTTCTTTGGATATTGAAAGAACATTGAACTTTCTTGCCTATGTGTTATTGACATAATTTTTCAGCATAGCACCCACATTTACTTTTTTCCCTATATTACAGCAAGTCCTTTATTAAAGATTTAAAATGACTTTGCAAGTAACTGATACTGATACTACTCCCTAGCAACCATAATATTGCTTAGGACAGGAAGATTTTTAACGTCATCCTTTTTCATGTTTTAGTAATACTACTTTTATATCTTTTTTTTTTTTTTTTTTTTTTTTTTTGGTACTGGGGATCAAACTCAGGACCTTGCACTTGCGAGGCAGGCGGCGGAACCACTGAGCTAAATCCCCAGCCCTCTACTTTATGTTTTAACTGCTGGGTTTTCAAAGTGTGGGAGGATTTAGAGCTAATTTCTCTCCATGCTTCTCATTTTTCTTTTAGCTTCATTTGTTATTAATACATTTTTTGCTTAGCTTTAAAAAATGAAATAGAGATGGTGTCTCACTATTTTACCCAAGCTTTTCCCAAACTCCTGGGCTCAAATGATCCTCCTGCTTCAGCCTTCCTGAGTATCTAGGACCACAGACAAGTCTTCATGTCTGCACACCCAGCTTTTTACTTAGCTTTATTATGCCAATTGTAGTAAAAGACTTATTTTTAGCATTAATGAAAAACATTTTTCTTATCCCCTTTTAATTAATGATTATCAATATTCTTGTTCCATAGATTTTAACAATCTTTTCATACTTCTGTAGAACAGAATTAATTCCACTGAAAGCCTAGAAAATCTGGAAAACAAATAGAAGTTAACTTTTCTTCAAATATTAACTAAATTACACTGCATATATATTAAATGTGTAAAAGTTTATTAATATTTGAAAATACTCTATTACCATCTTCTCCCCCATACTGTAATATTAACACTTTATATTTCAATAATGATTTTTATTTCACCAAGGGCTTTTATATATTAATTCACTTGAACATATCAGTAAGGAAAGTGAATCAGCATTTTAAGGCTGAAGTTGTTTCACAAATTTCTTGCCTGAGCTTGTAAGTTTCTTGAATTTGATGTTCTGTGTCTTTATTTATGAATGTTTTTCCCATCTCCAGTTACTCGCATAACACTTGACCTAACAAATACTTAGGCTTTGAATGGATATCTTAAAACTCAAAACATGAGTCTCCATTAAAAATTTCTTTATCTGACTCATGAAACTTACTAGACTTAAAAGAAGTTAAAGTAGAAATGAAGTCTAAGAATTTTGCATAGATTTTTACTGATTATAGTAAATGTGTAATAGATTATTTATTGAAACTAATTTTTCTTTTGCTGAAAGAATAGACCATTAAATACTTCTAACTGTCCATAAAGTGGCATGAGGTATGTCCTATAAGTCTTTATAGGAAGGCTGATGCCTTTATGTTGATTTTTGTCTTCATGAGTGGCCAGAACCAGAGCAGCCTTTTCATTATTTATTTTAAAAACACTAAGTTTTTGCTATAGGCAAGTTACTGTGTTGGTTCCTGGAATTAGAAAGATAAATAAGATATTGTTCTTGCCCTCCAGAATTTCAGTCTCATTCAAGACAAACATTTATAAAACAATTTATTTCAGAACATGCAAACAGTACTATAGTAGCGGTATGCCTAGAATGGTGTGGAAACATAGGTAAGGGGAAGCTTAACCCAGCTTTAAGTAAGAACAGCAGAGGGAAGAAAAACAGGAACAGCTACAGGAGACACCGTCACTGAGGCTGCATCTTAACAGGTGACTAGAAGTTAGTACCTTACAGTGGGTAAAGACAGGTGTCCTAGAGGTGGAATGAACAGAGGAATGGGGCAGTTTGCTTGGGGAACTTTAAGTCATTTGGTGTTACAGGGCATCATATGAGAGACTGGAGAAGTTACATTGTTTTGCTGAAAATACGGTTTGTGTTAGTCTACTAATTAAATGTTGATGAAAGGTAAAAGATTTTTAAAATTAGACCCATTAAAATTATTAGCTAAAAATTGTTTTATCAGGAAAAATATTTAAATCAAAATGACCATCCAAAGGCCTGTTTTTGGCAACTTCTCCCTTATCAGCCAATATAGATATTACAGGTTACATACATGTCTTTTAATCAAGATAAAAATCTTCCTGTTTTTTAATTTTAATGCTGAACATGACTTTTGCTTAGTGAATCAGCATCACTATTATATGGTCCTTTGATGACATAAGCAACTGGTGCTTGGAGTAGTAGTCATAGCTGTGGTCTTTAAGGAGCTTCTTTTTATACTGCCGTCAGTTATCAGCTGCTGCAGATAGCAGTGTGATTCATGCAGTAAGCACTTTTCTGTTCTTTTCTGTTTGGGTGCTGTTAGAAAATTAGGGTTATTTTATTTACTTCATCTTCTACACACTATACCATAAGCTGCAGAAGGGCGGCAGGGGCACCATATCTACCTTAATCTCTTACATGATAGCCCTGAGCACAGCACCCAACACAAAGCAGATGTTCAGCAAGTATCAGTGAGTGAATAGAGTATGGTCTGTAGCCTAAATAGTGAAAGCAACTACTCTACAAGAAGAAAAGGAACAGAGTTCTGGTTAATCATTCATCTGTTCAACTCATTTCTTTTATGTTGTTACATAGTTAGTACATATCATATTTAATTCCCTCTAACGTTATCAAGGAAATAATTACTTACAAACCTACATTAGATTTATCATTGTGAATGCCACTTGTATTTTGTAATTTCATTAAAAATTCAAGTCAGTAGAATGCTAAATAGTCTTCATTAATTTTCAAATTCATAGTAATAATATGCTTCATGTACCATACCAAAGCATTTTCTACAACTGCTTTAGTATTCTATTTTCCAGAATTCCTTCCACTGATGTGAATTATAACGTCTTTTGCTGTGCAACTCAAAACCGGTTATATAATCCTAAATGAACTAAAGTGACAGGAAACTTTGACTAGGATAGGGATTTACTAGAAATCTCACAACCTTTTTATTTGTATAAATCAGTGATGGCAAACGTTTTAGAGCTTTCATTGATAACAAACAACTCACTGTGGCACACGTACCATAGGCTTACTGCCACGTGTAAGATCTTTCTTTTTATAAGCTGTTAGTTGATTTATTGAATAGTTAGTTTTGAATAAGGTGTTTTGAAATTTTCAGTATTAAAGTCACATAGTTTATCTAGTAAAGATTCTAGGAATAATATTCATATATAATATGTATGTGAATTAATATTCCTGAATTTAAGTGTCTTCACTGACATGTAAAAATACACATCAGTTGTCTTTTAGTTCTTCGGCAAATATCTTTAAATGTGTTAAAGTGTTTGGAACCTTTAAGGTAGTTTGGAAGACTTTTTTTGTGTTTTTGAGTATAATATTTTGGGGAGTTTTTTCCCCCTTGTTAATATTTCCTAGAATTACCATATGATCAGCTTTGGCTAAGAGAGGTAACTTAACATCGTAAAGATTGTTCTGAAAGAAAAATATCACTCACATTTTATAAAAATGTTTTTATTTTTTGAGAAAATTCATAGCTTTAATATTATTTTGTCAAATCATCATTTCAATGTGTTGTGTCTTTTTAAAATTCAGGCTGTCATTAAAGATAGAACCAGGGACAAGCACACCACGGTCTGCTGCTTCCAGGGAAGACTTAGTAGGTTAGTGCATAGTCTTCTTTCATTTCTAAATAATAAATCAGGTAATCAAATAGGAACGAACATATGTCAAAACAAATAAGTTCTTACCATATCTTATATTGCATGCAAAAGTTTATTTTTGGTATTAAAATATATCAGTCCCTACTACTGTTGGGTAAGAGGAAGGGCATAAGGGGTAGGGAGTAAAAGAGAAGAGTAATGGGTGGTGGACATAATCAGAATATGTTATATGCATGTAGAATACCACATTGAAACTCAGTTATTTTGTAAAATAAAATCCATCAGTCTTTTTGTGATTTTTTTGTTTTTGTTTTTGCCTTTCTGAGGTTGAACCTAGGCCATCACACATGCTAGGAAAGTACTCTACCACTGAGCTACATCCCTAACCTTGGTTTTTTTGTTTTTTAATTAAAAAATTGCTTGTAATTTTGTCAGTAATGTGCACATACATGTTACCTAATCAAGGAAAACAGGTCCAACAGAAAATAATAGATGAGAAATTATTAATATTCTATTCAATTTTAAGATTAAGAATGCAATATCTAGGCAGTGAGAGTTGGTTATACTGGAAATTTCTGTAGTCTAAATGCAAAATTCTGCTAATTTGAATAATTATTCAAGTCAATTTTAGTGATTTAATTTTTTTAAAGTTTACTTAAATACTGAGCCAAGAACTAAACATATAAAAAAATGCTCCCCACTTTATCTGTTGCATTATAATAGAGTATTATATTTATGTCACAAATAATCAGTGATACACACAGTTAAAGAAATTATTCATTTAATAAATAGCTGATTATTACCAAAATAGAACTTCACGCTAAACCTTCTGTTGTATATTCTCAAAATATTTGAAGGCTATCTAATAAGATGTGAAGAAGTGAGGGAACAAGCCATGACAATATGTAGAGGAAGGGCATTCCCAGTAGAGGAAAATATTTCGGTCTAAATCTCTTAAATTTGTTTTTAATTCTTAAAATAATATTTTACAGAACTGTATGTGTTGTGTATGTACCTATGACTTCTAACTTGAGTGCTTGACCCACCCTGCACTGCCTGTTAAAGGAAGCAGAAACCAGGAGTAAAAAAGCAGTGAATAAAAATAAAAGCACTGAACCTAGGACTCAGAAGACTTGGGTATTTAGACTAGGTTTTTGTTTTGTTGTTGTTTTTGTTTGGGGTTTTTTTTATTGCGACAGGGTCTCACTATGTAGTTCAGGCTGGCCTTGAACTCACTATGTAGCCCAGGCTGGCCTTGAACTCCTGGCAATCCTCCTGCCTCAGTCTCCTGAGTGCTAGGATTATAGGCCTATACCACCATGCCCAGCATAGACCAGGGGTGAGATTCTGAGCCAGTTTCTTCTAATTCTGCTTCTGCCTATGTAAATGGAGAATATATTTACACTGCCTCTACTTAGTGCAAGTAAAAAAGATAGAAATTAATGGATTTTTATATGGTTCGGGATTCTGTGCTCTAGGACTTGGAAAATAAGTATTACTTGTCTTCAAGTCAGTTAAAATTTAAACCACATTTTATATTTTTTATCAAGGGGTTAAAAATAAAATTCTTTGAAACCATTTGAAAGTTTCCTTCTCCCTCTATTTTCATTGAATCCTTAGGTCCTGAAGTAGGCGCATCACCACAGAGTGGAAGAAAAAGTATAGCAGCTGAAGGAGCCTTGCTGCCACAGACCCCTCCGTCCCCTCGGAACCTGATTCCACATGGACACAGAAAGTGCCACAGCTTGGGTTATAAGTCAGCATTTTTTATTTGACCTCTCAGTTTTTAGGTTGTTTATAGTTGCATTTATTTTCTATTTACTTTATTAAATAGATAACAGTGTCCTTGCATAATATTTTTAATAATCTTTCTGATTCATTAAAACATCTTGTTTGCTTAAAAGAATTTACTTTTTCCTTGACCAGAATTTGAAAGTCAGCTGTTTTCAACTACTGCCTTTATATTTGAGGAAGATAAATGACAGAGCCACTATAAATAGAATTAGAATAGCAGTATACCATTTTCCTTTTAAATCATAACCTTTACATCAAGGCAGCCCTTAAAATAAGTAATAAATTAAGGTCTAAAAATTTCTGTATTTCTGAGTGTAAACAATAAGGAAAGAGGGCCTGGGATTTAGCTCAGTGTTTCTGCCTCCTGCCGCTCAAGCACAAGAACCTGAGTTCAATCCCCGGTACCAAAAAAAAAAAAAGAAGGAAAGTGATGTCTTGTTTAACTTCATAATTATTCTCTAAAAGTGAATTTGAAAACAAGTTAGAGGCTGGAGATGAAATTAAAGTACATTCTCGTTATACAGGTAAATATGGCCAAGTTTCCTTAAGTATTTTCCCTAAAGTATTAGTTTAAGGCTTTCCTGATAAAATCTGTGTGTTCATTACTATGAAAGTTGAGAAGTGAGTTCAGGATAGCAAATCTTTTATATCCTGAATCTTAGAGTATCTTGTATATCCTGAATTAGTAACAGTAAAAGTTGTGAAAAATATTTCTCTTTGTTTCCAGTTTCATTCATAAAATGAACACAGCCGAGTTTAAGAGTGCAACGTTCCCAAATGCAGGGCCAAGACATCTGTTAGATGATAGCGTCATGGAGCCTCATGCACCATCTCGAGGCCAAGCTGAAAGTTCCACTCTTTCTAGTGGAATATCAATAGGTAAGAAATAGTTTTCTGAGAAGGTTCCAACTTCTGTAAGATAAGAATTTAAAAATAAGCTGGAGCCAGGTGTGATGGCGAATGCCTGTAATCCCAGCACTCGGGAGGCTAAGGCAAGAGGATTGTTTCCCATGGCCAGCCTCGGCTACATAGTGAGTTCAAGGCCAGCCAGCACTACAAAGTGAGACCCTATCTTAAAAAAAAAAAAAACCAAAAAAAAACAACCTAGAAAAACATTCATTTGCCCTACCACAAATAGTGAAAATTTGATTTAAAAAAACAAAGCAACAATTGAATACAGAATGAAAGTAATAATTGATGACACTTTTTAAAGTGCTGATGTTTTTGACTCCAGAAGAGGAGGCATTTTTGAATACTGGTAGGAAAATAACAGACTAATTGAATTGGTTACCTGCATGCAGTGGTTGTAGAAATGAAGAAAACGTTGAAGTCAAATATGATTCTAAATTATGTGGATTAAGGAGCTAATTAGATGGTGATGCTATTGCCAGGGTAGAGAGGACTGGAAGAGCAATCATTTGTGGGTAGTGAGGTGTTTGAATGGTAGCAGAGTTTGAGGGATTAAGAATTCTGCTCTCAACATGTTTAATCCCTATAGAGATGTGAGATTGTTGAGTGTGTGAACCTGGAGCTCATTTGGGGCTGGCGGGTTGTGGTAGTGTCAAGTCTATACATACACATGTGAGACCTAGCATATTTATAATATTACAGGCCAGGAGACTGGTTGAGATCACCTAGGGAAAGAGCATCAATAAATGAGAGAAGAACCCACATTTAAGAGAATATGTTTTTTGATTTTTTTGAGATGGGGTTTCATTATATAATCCAGGCTGGCCTTGAATTCACTATGTATCCCAGGTTGGCCTCATACTTGAGATCCTTCTGCCTCAGCATACTAAGTGCTGGGATTACAGATGTGTGCCACTGTCCCCAACTTTTTTAAAAGAAAGGTAGACTAGGCTAAGTATGTAGCTTAGTGGTAGAGCATTTGCCTAATATGCACGAGGCCCTGGGTTTGATCCCCACCACCACAAACAAATAAAAGAAAGAAAAACTATCAAAGGGAACCATGAAAAAGAGAAGAAAAATTAGTGTGTAGTATCATAAAAGCTTAAGTGTCTCAAAGATGAAGGAAGTCATGAATATATCATTATCAAATACAAAAAAGAAAACTAAGATATGTTAGCTTCCTAGCAACATGACAAACACCTGAGATAAATCAACTTAGAAAAAGTTCATTTTAACTTAGTTTTAAAGGTAAAGTTCATTTTAGCTTAGTTTTAAAGGTTTCAGTCTATGATTAGTTGGCCTGTGGCAGGGTAGCAATCAGGACAGAAGGACATGGCAGAGCAGAACCATTCACCTCATGGCCAGAAAGGGAAAGAGACAAAGAGGAAGAGCTGGGGTCCCATGGGTCCCTGCCTGGGGCGGCACCTTCACCTCCACCCCTTGACCCTCTAGGCCCAACATCCTACAGGTTTCATTGCCTCCCCATAATGCCTACTGCGGTCCAAGTCTGAAACAAACCTTTGAGGGACATTCCAAGCCCAAACTATAGTAGATGAAAATGCTGAATTGTCCAGGAAATTTGGCAAGATAGAGTCATTGGTAACCTTGAAAAGAACTGCTTCATAGAATGATGGAGGCAATGCCCTGGTCAGAGTGGATTTGAGTATGAAAGGTAAGGAAACTACTATGAAGGCAACCAGAAAATTGGGACCATATTGGGAAAGGAAAGTGAGATTAACAGAGGAGTTTATTTTTACATTCTAAGTTTTTTTTTTCATTTTCTGAATCATCTAGATAAGCATTATTTCTTTTTTTTTTTTTTCAGGTACTGGGGATCGAACTCAGGACCTTGCACTTGCGAGGCAGGCACGGTGCTACTGAGCTAAATCCCCAGCCCTATTTCTTTTTATAATTAGATAATATATCTATACTGTGTTGTTTTTATTTTTTAAATACAAAAAGAAAATGTCTTCATCTCTAAATAAATAGATTGTTCAAGGGCTAACCCTATTGTGAATATGATCATTTTAGTATCGATGAAAAGCCAATAGAAAGAGCTGTTAAATGAGGTTCATTTTCCTGTACATACTGACTTCCCTAACCCTTAAGATCTACAAACCCTAAAACAAAATTGCTTCAGAACTCTCCAGCACCATTCAGCAGTTTATTCTAATGTTCCCTTTTTTTTATAAGTGCTACTAAATAAGTTACATAAATTTTAAGTAGATCCATTTGTCAACTGAAATACCTCTTTATTAATGTTCTAAGTTGCCTGTATATAAATATCAGCCTCAGTCTAAAAAATAATTTGTGGAATAATTTTACAAGAAAGATAATAACTTTTTCTAGTTAAAAACTTGTTACTTATGCAATGTCATGCCACTTTAAAACAAAAAATAATTTTTAAAGTTACAGCTCTTGGGTACATAATATTTAACTTTCCTTATGAGTTTTATGGTGATAATTATTCTCTAGTTTATATGTAGCTTTTGCTTTACATAGATTTTCTTTTTGTTTGTTGGTTGGTTGGTTGGTTTTGGTACCGGGGATCAAACTTGGGACCTTGCACTTGTGAGGCAGGCACTGGAACCACTGAGCTAAATCCCCGGCCCTAGATTTTCTTTTACCACAAGAAAATTACACAGAGAGCCACGGCTTAGAAGCCATTGTGTTTTTGAGCAGATTTTTGGCTTTGTTTGTATTTTTTTAATTACTTTTAGGCTGTTAAGTAGGTGAATAGTTAAAGATTTCTGCATCTTTGTACATTAAAGACATTACACATAGGCATCTTCCTTCCAGATTTTTGTTTCAGTTTTAACATCATGAAGAGGGAGTAATACCATATGATGATAGCTCTTAATAAACACACAAAAAAAGATTGTTTTTCCCTAGCCATAAACCTTACATGAAATATTAATCTGTACTATGAAAGCTTTGAGGAAGTACTATATAAAAATTCACCAGTGCTGGGTGGCCTCAAACATTTTCTAATGTGGGATATGTGTCCTAGATAAACTACTCTCGCCTCACTAAGAAACTGGCTCATCTGAGATTGATGCCTATGGAAAACCTTGTATTTTCTACAGATAAATCATACTAATTATGCTTAAATTTTCAGTCTTTACCACATAATGCTTCAAATCAAAAGATAATCTACAAAGGCCCACATGGTGGCACATGTCTGTAATTCCTGTTATTTGGGCAGAGACAAGAAGATTCCAAGTTCAAGGCCAGCTTGGGCAATTTAGCAAGGCCCTGTCACAAAATTTTTTGAGAAATGTCTGGGGATACAGGTCAGAGTTCCCTGGGTTTAATTCTCAGTATCTCTAACCATCATCATCGTCATCCTCATCATCATCATCATCATCATCTACAAGACCCTTACCACCATTGGTTTATCTCTGGTTCCTCATCTGAACCATGAAATACAGAAATGTGTTTAAGGACTGTTACCTCAATTCATCCAGGGATGTACATAACTAATGCCATGCAAAATACATTAAAAAGATATTAATCATATAATTGGTCCCTTACCACTTTAGAGTTTGATTCTCTCTTGGAACCTCAGTGATAAAAGTCTGATGGATAGTTCAACATGACATATTCGTCATCTCAATTTTGAGAGCCAAAATTATCTTTAAAATAACTTTCATATTGACCTAAACTATTGTCAACTCTTCAGATTCATTCCCCTCAGAATTTTTCCCCTAGCTAATTTTAAAGTTTCTATTTGAAGACAATTTAAGCTAATACTCTGGCTAAAGAGAAAGTGGTGACATTGTTACAATATTAATATGTATTTTTTAATTTAAAGCTTTTTTCTTCAGTCTTGTTTCTAAAGGCAAAAAAAATTAATTTCATTAAGCTTTTTATCCTCAGAATAGTATGAGTTTCAGTACAAAGGAAAGTACATATGCCCTGATATCATAGGATTTCATAATTATATTGATAATAAATTATGACAAACTTTATGAGAAAAATTTGTGCTCTATACATTCTCTTATGATAGAATTGTTTAGCAGTTAATTTTAGCTGTAAATAGTCATGCAGAAATGTCTTACTCTGCTTTGTTGTTTTAGTCTTATTTATTGTATTTCAGTATATTGTAAAACACTTGAAAACACACCAGCAATGATATTAGAATAAAAAATTAATATATGGGGCTGGGGATTTAGCTCAATGGTGCTGCCACCTGGCTCACAAGCACGAGGTCCGTAGTTCTATCCCCAGTACCAAAAAAAAAATAATACATGGATGTTTGCCCACAATATAATTGTCATTTTATGAGCACAGTTAAAGAAATATTTTCATTTTTTAAATGTTTAAAATTTGTATTAGTGCATGTGTACAGTACATAATGATGACATTCATCATGAGGAGTTGGTCCATGTACATAACGCGTCTTAGTTCTTTTTACTGCCCTGCTTCTCCCACCTCCCTCCTTTTCTATCTCCCCTTCCCATTTACAAAAGATCTATTTCCCTGTTTCCTATTTGCTGCCTTTTATTTTACTCTTTAAATTACCTATACTTTAGATTTTTTTAAATATAAAATCCAAACGGGAAAAATAATTCTGGTGTTTAAATAGAGTTAACTTTTGATTTTAGGTAGCAGTGAAGGTTCTGAACTAAGTGAGGAGACCTCATGGCCTGCTTTTGAAAGGTAAGAGAAATTGACCATTTGAATTGCTTTGAATGTATTTTGTCTAAAAGGATATAATAGAGCCAGGGATTTAGCTCAGTGGTGCCACCGCCTGCCTCACAAGCACAAGGTCCTGAGTTTGATTCCTGGTACCAAAAAGAAAAATAAAGGATAAAATAATATGAATTTGAAGAGGTATCCCCCCCCCCATCTCTAAGGGACCATGTAAGTTTCCCTCTGGTAGAAAAATTAAGATGCTCATATTTCAGTTTGGAATTGTAAGTAATACAAATGATAACCTCTTGATAGCCTTATAGATACGTGTATTTATGTTGGTATCTTTACACATGTATTTGAATTTCAAGTACATTTAACATTGCAACTCAAAAGTTTTTAATAATTTTAATAGTAGTACATTTTAATAAAATTTTGTTGCTAGCAAATAATGCTGTGTTGATATTCAATACAAGGTCTGAGAATGTGGCCAAACAACTCAAATAGTTTTTATTAAATGCTCATTAGGATTTTTTCCTTCCCCCCCACTTTCTGTTTTTTAAGTGCATGTTTGTAGTACAGAGAATGCTTTTTGTGGTGGTAAATTGGTACATGTATATAATATCTTGATCATTTTTTATCCCTTTATTTGGCCCCCTTCCCACTTTCCTCTTCTCGCCCTTTCCCAGTCCCCTACCCCATCTCCAAGAGTGTACCTTCTAGTTTCCTGTTGTCTCTCCTTTGTTTTATTTATTTATTTATATTTCAGGTTTCTCATATAAGAGGAAACATGTAATATTTAACTTTATGAGCCTGGTTTATTTCACTTAGCATGATGGTCTCAAGTTCCATCCATTTTCCTAAGATGCATGATTTCACTGTTCTTTATGGCTGAAGGGTTTCAATTGTGTATATCTGTCACTCTTTTTTTTAACCACTTAATAGTTTATCACAACCGTCGCTCGGGCAGGTATCATTTCAGCCATTTGATTCTTGTATTGAATAAATGTGATAAAATTGTCATTTTTGTATTTCCTGTTATCACAAGAATTTGGTCATCCGGTATTAAATAATTGGACTGGAAAGTGCTTAATCCATTCATCTGTTGACAGGCATCTAGTCTGTTTCTAGAGCTTAGCTATTGAGAATTGTGCCAGTATGAACATGGATATGCGTGTATCACTATATGTCTTTAATTCTTTTGGAAATATACCCAGGAGAGGTATAACTGGGTCAACTAATATTCCTACTTTTAATTTTTTTAAGAATCTCCACACCTATCTTCCAAAATAAATTCCATATTTTTATAATACTAAGTTATACTCCTACAAACAGTATAGGAGAGTTCACTTTTCCACATCCTCACCAACATTCTTTATTTTTTATGATAATCATTCTGACTTGTAAGATCTTGATGTTTTGATTTGTGTTTCCCTAATGGTTGAAAATTTTGCACGTTTTTTTCATGTACTCATGGTCATTTGTACTTCTTTTGAGAAATGTTTCTTCAGTTTCACTTTTTTGATTAGGTCATTTGTTTGCGGGGAGGTTAATTTTTTTGAGTTTTCTATGTAGTCTAGATATTAATCCTCTATTAGAGTAGCTAGCAAAAATTTTCTCGCATTCTGCAGGTTGTATTTTTTATGTTGACCTGTACAGAAGCTTTTTAATTTGCTATATACATTTGTTGATTTTTGGTATTATTTCATATGTTACTCAGTTCTATTCAAGAAGTCTTTGCTAGTGCCTATGGTTTTCAACGTTTCCTCTACATTATCTTCTTCTAACAGTTTCAAAGTTTGTTTTTACATCTAGATCTTTGCTGTATTTTTATTTGATTTTAGTACAGCATGAGAGGTAGTGACCTATTTTCTGCAAGAGGATATCAAATTTCCCAGCACCTTTTGTAAAAGAGGATGTCTAGGGCCAGGGACTTAGCTTGGTGGTTCCATCGCCCGCCTCAAAAGTGCAAGGTGTCTGGAGTTTGATCCCCGGTACCAAAAAAAAAAAGAGGATGTCTTTTTTCCATTGTATCTTTTTGTCTCCTTTGTCAAAAAACCACATAGCTATAGATGATTGGGGTTGTTTCTGTGTTTTCAGTTCATTCCATTGGTCTATATGTTTGTTTTTGTGGCAGTACCATGTTGGTTTTGTTACTGTAACATTATAGTATAACTTGAAATCCAACATTGTGATCTTTCTAGCTTTGCTCTTTTTGCTTAGGATTGCATTGGCTCTTCTGAGTCTTTTTTGGTTCCACATGAACTTTAGGATTGTTTTTTCTGGTTCTGGCAAGAATGTTGTTTGTATTTCCAAAGAGATTGGATTAAACTTATAGATTACTTTTGGTAATATTGCTGTGTTCACTATATTAGTTCTTCCAATAGAAGAACAAGGAATGTCTTCAATGTTTTTCTTCAGAGTTCTGTAATTTTCATTATAGAGATTTTTCACCTCTTTGGTCAGATTGATTCCTGGGTTTGTTTGGGTTTGTTGTTGTTGTTGTTGTTGTTGTTTTTAGCTATTGTGAATGGAATTATTTCCTGATTTCTTTCTCAGTGGATTCATTATTGATGTATAGGAACACTATTGGTTTTGTGTGTTGATTTTGTAACCTCTCCGTTAGTATTCCCATGTTAACCTCTGATAACTTCATTACCACCACTCTTAGAATCAAGACATTTGATTCTTGACCAAAGTAATTGTTCCATTTTGTACATAAACTACCAATCAATAACAGCATTATTTAGATTAAATGTTAATGTCATTTGAAAATTGGAGTTGAATATATTTAGTCTTTTTCTTTTTTTTTCGTCCTGTACTGAGGCTGGAACCCAGGGTTTCCTTCATGCTAAGCAGGCTCTCCACCACTTAGCTGCAATTCTCAGCCCTTTTATTTTTAGTTTTGAGACAGTATCTCACTATGTTGCTCAGGCTAACCTCAAGTTTTTGATCCTCCTGCCTCTGCCTCATGAGTTGCTGGAATTACAGGTGTACCACCACACCCAGCCCTGTTAAGTCACTTTTCAATAGAAAACAATTTGTGGGCTGGGGATTTAGCTCAGTGGTTCCACCGCCTGCTGCACAAGCACAAGGACCCGAGTTCGATCCCCAGTACCAAAAAAAAAGAAAACAATTTGTAATTACATTATATTTTAATTAATTTTAAGCTGGTTAATTGGAAAATTAGTTATTTGCTTGTTTTTGGTACCAGGGATCGAACTCAGTACCTTGCATTTGCATGGTACCACTGAGCTAAATCCCCAAAGCCCTATATTTTAAAGTATAGTACTTTTTGGTCCTTTGTACTCTATTAGTGTTCCCAAGCCTTGTTCTCTTCATTTGTAGGATTCTTTAAAATTTATTTGTACATACTGCTTTTCTTCTAATCTTTATTTTCATTCTCTTAATTTCAGTTTTCCTGAAATGGAGAAAACACAAAAGTTGGCTTTTGCATGCTCTCTGAACTTGTGCAAATTACTTTTCTATCTAGAAAGAGTATACTACCATCAGCTATTGATTATAGAGTGTATTATAATTTTTAGATAAAAATTACTGATTAGCAAAATTGTTTTTTCCATTGCTTGAGTAACCCAAAGTGGTGTTGTATTAACTGTTATCATCCCAGCAGGTTTCCTATCAAGACAGTATTTATTGGTATTACCATCACATCTCAAAACAGTATTTTTTCTTTTATGATAAATATTTTGCTTTGCAGACATTTGCAGCTAAGGGGGAATAGTTTACTTGTGCCAGGTTTAAATCAGTGGCCTTTTTTTGTTTTGTTTTGTTTTTATTTTTAAAGACAGTGTCTTCCTACATAGCTCAGGCTGGCCTTGAACTCACTATGTAGTCCAGGCTAGCCCCAAACTTCCATTGATCCTTCTGCCTCAGCCTCCCAAGTGCTGGGATTACTTGTGTCTCCCACCCATGCCTGACAAATCAGTGGCTCTTAAAACATTTGAGATGGTTAAATGAGTGCTGTGTCCAGCAAGAGTCAGACATGAAATAATAACAAGTGAATGTAGAATAGGATTTAAAATACTGTACTGTCTGTGAATCATAAACTTGAAGATAGTACTCTGAATTTTAACACACCATCTTCTGTTCCTAGAGAGACCTGGAGACATCAAATATATTGTTGCTTAATTGCTATAGTAATGCTTTTTAAGTATCATTTATCAACATTGCTACTTTTGCTTTTCTCTGGCTGTGAAGCATCAGTGTTTCTCTGTGTGTTTATTTCCTCTAAGTATGATATGCCATTTTGTGTAAATATCACCTCATACCATATTTATCATTTATTGACTTCATTAGTTGATGTAGAAATAAAATAGTGCCCATATTTATTATGCAGTTTATCTCCTTCATTTTCTTTGATTTACTATAAAGAGGTTTTCCTCGTTAGTTTTAAATTTACAAGCCACATTGCTTTTAGGTGTCTTCATAGGGACATATAATAAAGATGAATTATTTGTATAAATCCAGGCATCAAATTTAAACTCAAATGCAGGAAGTAGAATACAAATAAGAATTTCTGAAGCATTTTTCAGGTTTTTATATTAGTTAGCTACAAAATACTTCTTTAGTTCTTCTGGTGGATGAATGAAAATAAATATATATATAAGCATATACTATGCATTAAACACCTATAAATATCTTTGAAAATATACTATGTGCTTTAAAAAGAACAATCACATACTATCCTTTTGTGAGATTTAGAAAGCAGTGTTACACAAAGATTCTTTTAATAGTGTTCTAGGTATTGGCTATAATTGTGTGAATAAAAGTGTATGTAATATATACGATCTATAATGGAATCCAACAGGAACAGATTATACCATTCTCTCGGCTCGGTGACAAGAGTGGCACGAAATGGCTGTCGAAGCCACATGAAGGCCAGCAGGTACAATTCCCCTGTATCCAGGGGTCATAAAACTTCCCTCTGGTGTTGGTGATTGGCTTACATTACATGGGTGTGGTCTGACATTATTTCTGTTCTTTCTCAGCTAATTGGTTTTAAAACTAAACGAATTGCCCGTGAAAAATTCCCTTCTAAGATGTAATATAGAGATAAATTGAAACTATTCTTTTTGATTGCAGCACTAATTGCTTAAACCTTTTATCTTTCTGTCATTTTTAAAAAATTCTTCCAAGTTGGTAGCCTTTTAACTGCACATAAGTCTAACACTGCTAATTATTGTATGAGCAATATAAATTCCTGCTTCTTAATCTTAAACTACAATCAGAGCATTTTGCTAATAAGTTTGTATTTGTCCTTTTTAAGAATTTTTTTCTGATAAGCCACAGATCTTGAGTCTAAACAAGTCTATTTGATTAAATAATATTTGTATATTTCAACACATATTTAGTCCTTTATCCAATTAAAGTCTTTTTCTGAAGTATATTAACTGTGGGACCAACTAAGGATAATACATTGATTGGAAATATGAGGTTTAATGATAATGGATAAACAACCAATTCAAATACAGAAAAATAGCCAACTTTATGTCTATTTGATGGTGTCTAATCTCCTTACGTATACCTCCCTAAGTATAAATAGCTCTACCATGAAATTTCTACTGGTTTCTAGATTAAGTCACTTTGAAGACACCTAAATAACGAAAAAGGAATAAACTGGAAAACTTTTCTTTGCTGTTGTAGGAATTCTGCATCTCATAATGACATCACCAAAGAATGCCATTTTTATTAATGTGTATGTTTTATTTGGTCCATGTAGAACTCATTCTTGTTTTGAAATATAGGATATAGTATATCAAATCTGGGGAAAGATATTAAAGTGTTTGGTTATATTGTGATGATTTTTTAAAATATATACAGTAAGTTATTCCTTTCTTGGAGAGCTGTAAGGCCATAATCAAACACTTAAGTCATGCCTGCATTAAAAGTCATTAAAATTTATTGCAAAAAGCCAGTTTTTAAAAATATGTTATTGCATTATTTTTCACTTATTTTAGAATTAAGTTAAGCATGAGTTTTCTCTTTTTGCTTCTGTGAGCTATTTTCATTTTCAGTTTTATATACTTAAAAAAATACTTTTAATAAATAGAATCCTCATCTTTCCTACCAGGACTTAAAATTTCTAGTGGGGAAAATAAAGTTGCAACAGTGATGCAGTGCGGCATGTTAAGAAGGAAAAAATTAAATTTTTGTGTTAATTTTTTTGTGAATTCCTGCATTCTTTCTAAATTATACTTGTTCAAATATGGAAGAGTGTGTTTTTTAACCATCTGCTGACTTTATTAACTTCCTAATTAACTTTTGTGACAGCTTATAAATTTTAGGTCAATAAACTTATACAATTATTAGTATCTTCTTGGCTGTGAATAAAATAGCAAAAATTTTAAATTAAGAATAATTACATTTTATTTAAGTATTATTAAGTATTAAGTATTTATTTAATCATTACAATAGACAAAAGCTCTTACTTGTCCTTTTCTGCATTCCGCTGTTATAGTTCTGCAGAGTCAGAAGATTTGGCAGTACATTTATATCCAGGAGCAGTTACTATTCAAGGTGTTCTCAGGAGGAAAACTTTGTTAAAAGAAGGCAAAAAGCCAACAGTAAGATTTCATTATTTTTAAACACTCATCTAAAAAATATGCAAATGTACTAAACCCTAAAATGTACTAAACAATTAAAAAGAATCAGATGTATAATGGACTTGAAAGAATTTAAAATATCTATTTTCCTCTTCATGTTCTTTAGTTTTATATCTGCTAGGTAGATGTCAACTGAATCATATGTTGAGATTGCTTAAATCAGGATACCCCTATACTGTACATCTCTTTATCCTCTAAAATAATTCTTATGCAAAATTGTTTGTAAAGTATATGGCTAAGTATTATAGTAATATATTTAGGAAGAACAGAGACCAACAGCCTGAAAGCTGGAATTCAACTCAATTTGTTTCCAGTTTATTTAAATTTCTTTAATGCAGTTTTGTTTTCCTGTTAAAAAAAAAAAAGACTCCATTATTAAATGTTCTCCAAACAACAACTCTATGGCGGGGGCTGGAGGGTAGTAGAGCAGAAAAATATAAAACCTTTGATGTGTAACTGCACTTAAAGTTTTTGAAAATATGAGGACTTCTTAAAATATAAAGATGATTTTCATCTAAGTAATCTTATGCTGCTTACAATAAACCAAAGGCTCATACAGTGATGAAGCCACACTGGGCCATCCTGTGAACTCAGAGTACTATATCTATTGCATTGCTATACCTGTTGTGTGGCTGATAATAAAAGTAGAGCAATGAATAAGACAAGACTAAGTGCCTGCCTCTTGGAGATTACTTTCCAGTGAACAAAAATACAGAGTAAGCCCTTGTAACAGGGTCATAAGATACAGAATGATGGTGTGACAGCAAAGCATTTGAGCTGAGATCTGTGAAGAAAGTGAGTTAGCCTTACAAAGATCTAGAGTACAAGAGACGAGAGGACGTGTGGTTGAAGCATTGAAAGTAGAGGAGGTGAAGTCAAAGAATGTAGTGCTGATGATATATTACTTGTTCTGTATAAGAGAAACAGTAGACATGAAGATAACTTCCAGATTTGGAGACTGAGCTAGGTGGTTGTTGGTAACATTTTTTGAAATGGGTAGATAGGTAAGTTTTGGCTAAGTTCAGTTTGACACACTTATTTAACATTCAAATGGGGCTGTTTGGCTCTTCAAAAAGTATAGTTCCTGAGTTCAGTAGACAGGTGTGGCCAGAGGTAGTGATTTGAGCATATTAGCATACAAAGAGTGAAGTGTGGAACTGAATGTGACAGATTATCTATAAAGATGTCACTGGGGAAGGAAAAAAAGCTGAAGATAGACCTCTGTAATATCAAAAGTCTGCTATAGGGGCCAGGGATTTAGCTCAGTGGTCTCACCGCCTGCTGCGCAAGCACAAGGACCCAAGCTCAATCCCCAGTACCAAAAAAAAAAAAGTCTGCTATAAGAAGAGGGTAAAAGAAAACTAAGTGACATCCTAGAACCCTAGCAGTTAAAGTACTTAGGAAGGTGTTTTCAGCTGTGTCAGACAAAAATTTGACTGTGACAAGGATTGATTCTCTGGTGAGATGTCAGTGGTCAGTGACCTAGACACCAGCTGTTTCAGCCTGAAAGTCAAATTAGTAAGTTTACTAGAAAATGGACAAAATAAAAGTAGAGGCAGGAATTAGAGACAAACTTGCAAGAAGCAAGTGAACAGAAATTGGATTGGGGGGCTTGGGGAGTGTTCAGGCAAGGGAGAAATTTTAAAGATGGGAGTATTACTAAGGTTCATTTGTCTAATGATGGGAGAGGAAAATAAATTGAGATGCAGTGGAGAAAGGAGTTTATAACAAAAGCAAATTAAGAAAGTGTAAGAGAAGAATCTAGATAGAATCAGGATTTGACTAATCTAGGAGGGAGAAGAAAGGCGTGTATATCTGCAAACAGGCAGTTAGCTGGAATTGGTGCTGGGAAAATGAGGTTGTTCTCTCCAGAATTCATCTTTCTCCAGATGGTATGATATGAAAGGAAAACACATCAATTTGAGATTGGTGATCATAGTTTTATCAATAGGAATAATTTTGTGATTTACCCAGCAAGTCAGCTACTATGTTATGCTACCAAGTGATCAGATAGTTAGATTTGACTAAGGGTTAGAATTTTATCAGGAAAGAGGGCCCTTGGGATTAACATACTTGGAAGAGAATGAACACAGTGCTAGACCAGTGCCAGATCTGAAGGAAAGGGAGAGGGGCAAAGGAGGTGATGGCAGTGCTAGAGAATATTAAAAGTGATGAATTCTTGGTAAGGTCAAGAATTACCCGAATGAGAGTAGTAGAGTGTATTAGTTGGAAGTGATAGAGATATTTGAGATAGATTTCAGAAATGCTACGGCTTGACTCTGAGATTAAGACTTTGATGACTGAAGTGCAGAATGACACTAAGAAGGTAAAGAAACTGAGAAACTACTGACATTTTAACAGTATGTTCACATTTATGTTTTCCAGGTGGCATCTTGGACAAAATATTGGGCAGCCTTGTGTGGAACACAACTTTTTTACTATGCTGCCAAGTCTCTGAAGGCTACAGAACGCAAACATGTAAGTGTCCTTCTAATTCTTAGCATTGTTTCACAGCCTCTTTATGGTTGTAGAGAAAATAGTCCTAATATAATTTTGGCTCCTAGCTCTTGATCTAAAATACTGCAATGGAACTATTTTTATTTAGTAAGACAATTCCAAAGAAGATCTTGGAATAACATCTACATTTTGAAGTTCTTTTTGAATACCATTTTTCCATTGCAAATTTCAAAACTGCTTATTACAAATACCAGTCTTGGCATCAAAGTTTCCTCAGTGCTGAGTTTCTGGTTCAAAAACCTTGTAGACTTGGTTCCCAATATATAAAATGTGAACATTTGAGACCAACATCTGAAGTTATCTTTATCTCAGTCTCTGATGTGGTAACCTTCTCAGTAATGACAAAGAATCAGTGATTACATACTACTTCAAAAGCCTCTTGATAACTTTTCCTACAAATCTCATTTGCATGTTATGTTATTTTGTCTTTCTCTGCTGGTCATAAAGTCTTTAAAAGGAAGAACAGTTTCCCATGTTACATTAATAAAATCCCTTTAAGAATTTTATTTCTAAGTCACGTAACAGGGGAAGGAAAGTAAATGGTTTACCTTACTGAGACAAGATAAATCACTGAAGAAGAGTTTAGTTCTTTTTTTCTACTTTCAGATTTCACAGATGACACTGCATAAGTCAGAGAAGCTGTATTTTATTCTCACAGTAGCTCTTTAATCAAACAAAGGTGTAGAAGGCATTTTTGGTTTAAATGAATGTAGGAAATGCCATACAATCCCGTTGCTTTCTTTTTTTTTTTTTTTGGTACTGGGGATCAAACTCAGGACCTTGCACTTGCAAGGCAGCCAGCGGAACCACTGAGCTAAACCCCCACCCCCAGTTTGTTTTCTTTATCAACTACTACCTTCTTTATCAACTACTACTGCTTCTCATCACTTTCCTAAATTTCATGTTAATTGTTGCCTTCCTTTTCATTAAAATGTTATCATCTTTTTTTTAATTAATACATTATGGGTGTTTATTTGGGGTTCTTCTTGTGCTGGGGATTGAAACGAGGACCTTGGGCATACAAAGCCCCATGCTCTACCACTGAGTTTATGCCCCAAGCCCCTGGTGTTATATTCTTAATAGTGCCTTTTTTTGCTCATTACTGTAATTGTTTAGCTAGCTCCTTCAACAGAGATAAAGGAATGAGTGATCATTCTGTCTGTGAATGTTTTTGTATCCTGTCTAGTTTGCATAATCAAGTATGGTTTAAAAGTGAAAGCATATTCATTATAAAAAATAATAATATCCTCGAAGATAATACTAATTGGTTTTACTAGAACAGTTGCCTCTACTGCTGTACTCACAAGGGATGGGGATAATAGAGTTAAATATAACAAGTAGTTTTTTACATAGCCACCTTGAGAAACTTGTTGGGAAGATTTCACTTAGTTTAACTATTAGAAGAAGTAGTTTTTCAAAATAAAGTATTTGGGCTTTTCTTAGCTTTAATTAGAAGCCAAATTAGAGGCATAACTGAATTTGTCATGTAATGCATATGTTAATCAGCATTATTTTCTGTTTGGCATTGCTACTTATACATACTAATGCATACTAATATATTATTATAGTTTACAGTTAATTATAAAGGTTTCTGATAAATATGCATGTGAAATAATTTAGAAATTATAGTAGGTTGTGAGAAAATAAAATTGACTACCAAGGAAATGGACGTATTCTTATCTTTTCTAGTTTAATCTCTTCACAACAGGATAGAAGGCATATAGACAGGTCACTACCTATATTCTATATTAATTTGGGGATTTGAAACAATGTGACATATAGCTGAAAGCAGTAAAAACATTTTTAAAAATTTTTTCAAAGTTCAAATACAAGCAAATTGGAAGAAAACATTTCCCATAAATAACAGATAAAGGATTAATATCACTAATTTTAGATACAGTACCACATCTTTTATGTTCTTGCCAAAATATTTAACCTCTTATCATGAGAAAACATGATATTCCTAGTGGTGAACATGATTTGAGACAACCTGTCTTCTTAAAAAGACCAAAATGTGCCAGACAGAAAAGTGAGGGACTGTTACAGATTAAAAGGTACTTGACAACTAAAATATGTTTATGATAGGGCTCTTTTGTTTTGTTTTGTTTTTGTTGTTTGAGCTGTGGGGGGCAGAGTATGTTTTGGAAGAGTAGCTGGGAAAGAAGAGAGATATTTTATTCTGTTTTTGAATGTTTAAAAGTAAAAGCATACTCATTGCAAAAATATTTCTAGTGGAAGTGTATTCATTTCAAGAAATAATTTAATACCAAAAAAAGGCCTTTTTTCCCCTCTCATTAAATGCATAGAAAAAAGGCCAGGGCAGTATTACTCCAAATGAATAAGGTGGGGGTCAGCTGGTAGTCCAGCAACATTATACTGTGTATCTGTTTTCATCCCTCAGTGTTATGGGGGTTGTGTTCCTTTTTTTTTTTACAAGCGGAGGTTTTGAGGGTTAGGAAAAGAATATCAGAAAATCATGCTATCTATTTATGAGCTGTTTTGTGGTATTGCCAGTTTCATTCTTCATAGTAACAATAGCTAGATTCTTTAGCTTTTATTTTGTAGTTAAGTTACAAATGTGCTTTTATTCTTTTTCCAGTATTTTTTCATTGTGAAACACACAAAGTAGATAGGTGCAGTGTATAAGAACGTTTTACGACAGTAAATAAATATACCCTCCACCTCACATAAGAAACAGAGCTGTCAAAGCTATCCCAAATGCCATCTCCTTTCTCCTTCATCAGACACCCCCACAGACCATCACTGTCCTGAATTTTTTTCTTTGAGAGTTTTACCATATATGCTTCCTTATACAATAGTTTTATTTTAGAATGTACCTATATATTCTTAAGCATAAACTTTTTTGGTTATTACATTGTTGAGATTCATTGTTCTTTATGCATATAGCTGTTCCTTTTCACAACTGAATAGTCTTCCATTTCTATTCAGTCTGCTGTTGGTGAATATCTGATGGTTTTTTCTGTTTGTTTGCTAACAGTGCCACTGTGAATATTTTTGTTCACAGATTTTTTACCTCTAGGGTGTATACCTGAGGAATGCAAATGCTTAGCTTTACAAGAAAATGCTACATTAAGTTGCATAGTCATTAGTAGTGCAGTGAGATTCCATATCTTCACCATACTTTTTATTACTAAGCTTTTTCATCTCAGCTAATCTAGTATGTATAAAATGTTACCTTATGATTTTAATTGGTATATCTAGTTTTACCTTTTTTCATATTTTTTGGTGATAGTGTTTCTGTGAAATGCCTGGATAAATATTTTATTTATTTTTACTTTTAATTGATAAAAGGTTTGTATATATCCCAGATGTAGATCTGTTAGCACTGATATGTTACAAAAACTTTCCTCCAGCTTGTTTGACTTATCTTTTTACTCCCTTTATGGTGTCTTTTAGGATCCTTTTAACATACTACTGTATTCGGTTTGCCAATATTTTGTATAACTTTTTTCATTTATGTTCATGAATCAGATTAACCTAATTTTCTGTTCTTTTATAGCAGCCTTTTCTCAGGGTTGCAAAAAGAAGTGTATCTAAAGTAATAATAATAAAACAAAAGAATAGTTGGCTATAAAAGCTAACATACATGTAAAAATACCTTTTTCTTTTTTTAAGAAACATAAGTGAGGATATTATCACTAATTATCTGATAGCCCTGATGCTTTATTAAATCATCAGGTTTAGAAAAACAAAACTATAAAGTGCAGTTGTTTCCTATAAGCAGTAGCACAGTAATTAGGAAAAAATAACAGAAGAAAGTATCAGGTTCACTAACATCATGCTCTTTGGGAATGGAGAATAAACAGGGTTTGATGAAGAGTTGAAGCTGAGAAAGGTCTGGAAAGTAGAACACTGTCTGAAAAAGGCATCTCTATATGCAATTTACTAATGAAAGGTCTCCAGTTTATCAGAACTAGCCAGAAGTCATAAATCTTATCTCTCATTAGGAAAAACTGAAAACACACTATTACTTGTACTCAGAATATTAATAATTTTTTGCTAATTATCACTTTTTTCATTATCTTACAATCTCAGTTCAAATCGACATCAAATAAGAATGTGTCAGTAGTAGGATGGATGGTGATGATGGCTGATGACCCAGAACATCCAGATCTCTTCCTGCTGACCGATTCTGAAAAGGGTGAGTTGTTAGGATGCTTAGCACTTAAGGTAGTGTGTATGCACTTTCTGATGGACCTAATCCTAGTGTAACTGAAATACTCAACGGAGGAAGTGTTTGTTTTGTTTTAGGAATTATTTTTGTCATATAATGTCATATAATAAACCAGTATTTTTAGAACTTTTTTTCCTACATGGGCAAAAGCTTGGAAACTAAAAGGCCAACTAAATCCTAAAAGGATAAGCAGAAAGGGAGAGAATTTGAGAATTATGTAGCCTATTGTTGCTTTAATCTCAGAGATTGCTCTTTCATCAGTTATGTAACTCACACCACTGTCTACATTAAAATATTTTACATGCAATATGTAGACACATTGGTGAATACAGTAATTGGCTGTTGACCCAGTGGTCAAACTCCAAACTTTGTAAAGTTGATGAGAGAACTGCATGGTAAGCTGTTGAGTAGCACATCCTGCCTCTGTCACTTCATACTGCAGGGTCCAGCAGAAGAGATCCCTGTGGTTCTACTCTTCCTTCTAACTACTAGCTCTTGATAGGCCCCACAAAAGAGGCTGAAAAGGAAATTCTTTCACACCTACACAGAATTCTCCACTACCGCAACTCACAATGAAGTACTATATTTATTACATTTTGTTGACTTCACCACTGTATTTTGACCTGTTTATCTAGATGCTATTTTTTTATCAACAGATACTCTATTTTTCAGGTATTACAGTGTTTTAAGGGTTTTTTTTAATGTAGATTGGATGTAGAAAAAAATAATCATACCAAAATGTCTTATTTTGAAGTAGATTGATACACAGTAAGGACCTCCTACACAACTTCTGAATTCAAAGCCCCAGCTTCTCAAGATGCCAAAGACATGATTCATAAAATTGTATTTTTAGCATTTTGCTAACAAATTTTATTTTCCTTTCATTTCTCATAGCATGTAGAATAGTCAGGATTTTTATGAAATCTGTGCTAATGGTCTTTTTAGGAGGAAGAAGAAGTAAATTAAGCTGTGACCAGCTGAATTGTAGATATGCTCTTACTCAGATGGACCTAATGCCTGCATCTGAGTTCAGCGGGCAAAACAGACTTTTTAATTAATTTCTAATTTCCTAAAAGATAAAAAGGTGTGTCCTATGATTTTTCCCAGAGAGTCCTCAGCAAAATTGAAAATCTGAAATAATTTTGAAAATAATTTTCTTTTAAAAATTTAACATCATGTAAAAATTGGCATGTAAAAATTTAATATCAACATTAATTATTTAGATCATCTTCATAGTGTTAAAAACAATTATTCTGCAGTCTTATCCACATAGACAAATCTAGAGAAGCCACACAATTATTTTATCTAGGTATTCTTTACAAGGAATTTATGAGGCAAAACAAAATTGACACTATACAAAAGAACTAAAATGGCCGTGGGTTTAGCTCAGTGAGTGATTCTACTGCCTGCCTCACAAGCACAAGGATCCGAGTTCAATCCCCAGTACCAAAAACAAACAAAAGAACTAAAATACCATTCATATCATATTTTATCTGGAAAATCAGGTGTTAAATAGAATTCTGAAACAGAACTCATATTTAGTTCACTCTTGAATATCTGACAGAATTATGTGGCATAGTGCTTAAGTTTTTATTATTTTCACTTGGTTTTGGTAATTTTAGGAAATTCATACAAGTTTCAAGCTGGCAGTAGGATGAATGCAATGCTGTGGTTTAAGCATTTGAGTGCAGCCTGCCAAAGCAACAAACAACAGGTGAGATTTCTCTTAATTCTCGGAATAGTCCGTAATTTAGGAAACTATTGAAGATTTCCAACAATTGTTGAAGTAAGTAGTTTTCTTCATGACCTGGGAAAATGGAGTTGTTTTTATTCCTTTTATGGATTACAGCAATCAGTAAGACAAGTCCACATTTTAGTGAGGAGCAAAACAAAAGACAAAATTTCAGATCTCTGTGAGGTGATGAGGCTGACATGAGTGACAAGAAGGAACAGGCCACTCAGATTAGAGAGAGTTTAGTGCTGGGAAAGGGAGCAGAGCCCTACATTAAACAGAAAGACATCATCTTTGCCCCTTCCTCCTGGCCATAGCAGTTTACTTGAAAGAGCTCATTACTCATCTCAGTGATTTTTCTCTCTAAAAATTTTTTAAATGTAATATTCATTAGTCATAATTAAAGTACCCATCACATTTCTTTTTAAATATATTTAAGAAAGATTTGGACTTGCCCAAATGACAAGGAAAGAAATATTAGCTTGAAAAACAACTTGCAAACACTTTGTAATGCTTGTCATTTTTAGGTTCCTACAAACTTGATGACTTTTGAGTAGAAACCTGGGGAAGATGAAGTGAACCCTGCTCCTGAGTGAGAGTGGGACCTACAGAAAGAGCGCCAGCTGCAGACCATCTGTGCCAGGAAGAGCCCGAGGCTCCATCTCAGCCTTGGAGTTCTGAACCAAAAAGCACTAATTTCAGGGAATGAAGTGAGATATTCCCAGAGGACAAATTGGAGTTACAAAATAAACTGCCATGAACCATGCTTCTTATCTCAGAACTGACCTGTGGAAACCACTGCCTTAAAAGAATGAAAGGAAAACCAACATGAAACACCAAATAGTGTGTGTGAATCTTCTGGCGGTGCTGTGCTTGAAATAGATTGTAGCTAATTTGCATTTCTTTTATCTTTGTACTAATTTCAGAGGGGGAATTATCTTTTTTAGATACAGTTTAAAAAAGGAAAAACATTTCTTATGGATTACATCAGGATCTGGCTTTGAACTGCAGTGAACAGATACTTAGAGATTATACCAGCAGCCACACACACCCCGCCCCCAGGTTTGTTCTCCCTCCAGTAGTGCATTCTCACTTGTTTTCTAACAGCAAGAATGTGGGAATTGGAAATGTTAATTATGTAAGTTGTCAGGGTTTGTTTTGGATGGGAGGTGTTTGTCTTGTTTTGGATAAGGGGACATCTTTTTAAACTTTTGAATTTAGTGCTGTGTGGGAAACATTATTTCCTGCAGGAGGCACAAAAGCCAAGTGTTCATATGCCAGGCAGTTTCTTAAAGTAGGCTCCAGAAAACATTGTTGTTTCTAACAGGGGTTAAAGCTTAGCTTTACATGAATTTTTTGTTGGACCACAGATCTGCCTAATAGAGAACTGCAATCCCAAGCTAAACTTTCCTGAGAAGATTTTACAATAACTAGCCTTTTCCCTGAGTTGATTGAATTATCCCTTCTCCCAGTCACAGATGGTTTTTATCAGCGAGGGTGATAATACTGATATTTTGCCAGGATATTTTGTTTCACAGTGTTTAATGTGCATAATGCCAGTGTTTTTGTTGTCATTGTTACAATTATTCACTTGTTTTTGTTTAATATGAGATTCAAGATTGTATTTGTTTAAAAGATTGCTTGTTTATGTTTTATCATAAGACAAGAATTTTAAGAGGGATAAAGGTGAAAGTTGGAGGTTCTGGAAGTTTTAAGTATCAAACGTTTCCTCCTTACATGACTCACCATGAGCATACCAAAACATTTTTTCTGAAAACCTACTAATAGTTCCCTTACATGAAACCATATTTTGGCAGTGGTTGACTAAGCAGTTTTGACAGAATTCTTCTATGCAATAATGCATTTAATTTCTAAAATAAATGTTAAATTGAAAATTGAAAAAAAGGGATGAGGTACCTTAGATTTCATAACAAAAAAATAGCATTTGAACAAAGATTCCACATTAAATATTATATCCTTGTGAGGCACAAATTTTAGTAGTGACCTAAGGAGAGAAGTGCTTCTTGATTGATGCCTGCTTATAAACATCTATTATTTTGGGCCTCACATAAAATTTCTCACACACCTAGTCTTAGAGAAATGTATACTGTATCATATTTTGCCCTCAAGTCCACTTAAAGAAAATACTACATGTATAATAATTAGCTAAAAATTTATCCAAAGGAAAGCAAGAGCTTTTTCTGAGTGTTTATAAATTTCGTTTTTTTGTTTAGGAAGATATTAAGAGTTCAAATACGTTTGTCATATGATAGAAATACGTTGTTTCTGGGTTTTGGTGACAGGCTGAAGAGGGCAAAATGTTGCCTGTGCTGAATGATTTTTTTCAGTTAATGATCTAAGCTTAACCCACGTTGGGTACATAGAAAGACATCGTCTGCATAACCAGCAGTATTACTATAGAGACCTTGCACATCTTACTTTTGTTTTGCATTTTTAAAATTTCCTTACTTTATTTCTCTTTAAAAATAACTTTTAAGTGTATTGCTTTTTTAAAAGAAATTGCAAATAAGAACCCTGTGGATTTTATTATTATTTTGTTTGTCATAAATAAGCTAAAGTAGATATGTTTTAGGTTAACCATACCTGTGGAAATATGCAACTGGAAGTCAGAGGCTGACATCATAGTTTTGCCAAAGAGAGAGAGAGCTAAGATGGAAGGTATGTTTGATATTTTCAGCTCTAAACAATGAGTGCTTGTGTAGACTAAGTATAGTGTTCAAATTGAATTAACAGTTCACAGATAGAATAGGCACAGTGTCTTCAACTGATGGAAGATCAACCCCACAGTGAAGTAGAAATCATTATTGTTTTTCTATTTTCCTTGATCCATTCAAAAGATCAGACTCTGCTTTTTAGGATTATTTTCTCTTTTGAAGCAAATTTTGAATTAATATAGGTGAGTTTTGACCTATAATTCACAAAATATTATAATTCAAGCAAAATATATCACCAAACTATATTAAATATTTAGATAGTTTATTACCCTCAATTGTAAATTAGTAAGTCAAAAGCTAAAAATTTCCATCAGTGTTAAGCTCATTTCTTTCTACCCTAGTCAGAAACTCATTAGAAATTCATTTAAATTTTAAATTAAGCTGGTTTATAACCACAATGATTGGTATATTTTATGCCCTGCTATAGTAGTATATATACTAGCCCAAATACAATTTGAGGCAATCCTATTTAACAATTTATTTAAAACTGGAAAATTAACTACATAACAACCTTCTTGAGCACTGATTTGGTTACACATCTTTCCCCTTGTTTCAGAGTATTATTTTTACTGTAACCTCTAAACTGTACAAATTGAAATAGAACTGATCAAACTCACCTTCCCATTTTGTTGTCTTCACTGTGTAAATATTACAAAAAGGGATTCAAACAATGAGTTTGAATGTTGTTTTGTTGTTGTTGTTGTTGTTTTTTCTCTTCCCCAGACATATGCTCCAATGGTAAATATTTTTCCTGTGTGGAAAATGCCATATAACTATTGCACTACTGTCTGTATGGACTGCATTGCTATTGGGTCTTTCTGTATGTCAAGAGTCAGGGTATTTATTGTTACAAAGCTTTTATAAATGGTTCTTTTCCTCTTGCGGAAGATTTATAAAGGAGCCCAAGAAGCATTATCATCATAGAAGAAAAAAATGGAAAAATGTTTACAGTCTCTAGCATATCTGTTAGTTGAAATAGGGCCCTCAAAAAGAGTAGCCTCTCTTTCTGGATTATTAGAATTTACCTGGCTAAATGCCTTTAGCATAATTCTTTTTTCCTAAGGTTAAATCTGTAAAGTCTACACATTTTATTACTGAAAACAAAACTATAGAGCATCGTTAACTAGATATCAATACTGAAAGATTTAGTCCATTGGCTTTTTAAAAGAATTTATTCACCTTTTTTTTTCTTGTTGAGCCACATTTCTTTACAACCAATTTTTAAGCCACCATATTATCCTCTGTAAACAAGGGGTGCCAGGGTTGCTTAACAGAAGATAATCTAAAGAAATCCTCTGCTTCAAAGGCTTTTGACATAATTGGATCCCTTTTTGAAAATAGAGATAAATCCAATTCAACTGTGTCACAGTGGAGCAATAATGCTACTGTTGCATGAATCAATCATACAAAGCAGGTGATGAGGTTTGTCTGACTTCTTTTAGTGACATTTCAGGGTTTGCCTTTTTTCCCCTCTCTTGTTTTGTATTCTTTCAAACTTAGTAAATTCATTCTTTTCCAGCCAGAGTGGTATTCTGTTTTCTCTAAGCCTTTAATATACAAAAATGGCTATTCAATCATATTGATGATAAATTACTTTCCATGTGAACCTTTTCAAAATGATTTAAATACCTTTTGGGTTTGCTCCCTAAAAATGGCTTGTGTCTAAAATGACTTTTCTCTTTAAAGGGTCCTAATGAAAGAGAGTTGTGCATACAAACTTGTATTAAATATATTGAAAGCAATTTCATTACATCTATATCTCAAGTTGTAATGAGGGGAAAGTTTGGTTAGTGCCTTACCAATGAAGACCAATTTTAGGGCATTGAGTATGACAATAATCATTTGCCCTCTTACTTCAGGAGTGTGCTATCCCTCTCTCCACCAGCTTAATCTTACAGCAGGACTAAGGAAGTCTGTACAGATACTGCCAGGTACTTGTTGCAGTCCTCCTTGGTTTTTGAGTCTTTTTTACACAAGTTTTGTCCCTGCTTCTGTCCTTTCCAGATAGGAGATTAAAAATAAATCCACTGAGACCCTTAAAAACAACTTGGAAGAACATCCATCCAGCTGAGTTCATTCTTTATTTTATTGTCTTGAGCATAGGTTTAATGATAAGGCCTTTTTGGAAAACCCCTAAAAAATAAGGTGCATCCAGAAATATTTTTTTGGGTTTTATTAAAGTATTGAAATCTTGTAATGAGTCCCTTTGGGCAGAAATGAGATGTATTTCTATTCAGTCTTATACTTAAAGAAGACCCAGATTGAACAAGCCTACCAGTTATTATTTGCCAAAAATAGTATACAAGAAAGTAATTCAACTCCAGTACACACATTAAAGGGAATTTAAGAGACTAGACTCAATTTCTCAGTGAAAGAAAAGCTTAGAAATAATCTGCTTTTCTGAGCTATTAGACCTAGTGCTGCTGTTTTTTATCTGTGTCAAGATGCTGTTTTCACATTTTTAAAAGGGCTAGTATGTTCCAGAATAGGCCAGTAGATCTATAATCTTTAAACCCAAATGAAAGGGTTAACTGGTCCTTGAGGGTTATTAGCGGAATTTAAATTTTTATTCTAGTCATTTGGACCGCAAAGCAGTGGTGGGATTTTTAAAAATGTAATTAGAGTGTTTTAGGGTAGAACTTCTTTCCTTAAAAAAACTATAAATACTAGCTGTGCTTTAGAACCAGGTGACAAATACTGTTTTCCCTGAAGATACCAACTAGAACTACTAACAAATATAGTCCAATAATTATTTTTACATGTGACTGTAAAATAGCAGCTGATAAGTCACCAAATTCTCAAGTGTTTCTGTACCTTATTGACATTGTTTGACAAACTACTGAAATATATGTGTGTGGAGAGGCTGGTGATCTGGTTCACAACATAATCTAAAGGAAATCAAACATCTGTAGGGATAGCTACCCAATGACGATAATACACAGGAAAACACAAGCCATTTTTATTCTTCTTTATCCCAATCAACTTGAGGTATTCTAATGATGAAGCATTCAATTGCACTATGACCTTCTTAAGTGATGTGCAACTTGGTTCCTCTCTCACTTTTTGTTTCTTTTTAATATGCAGATGTGAGTGTGATCTTCAGTGTGTTTGCATAAACTAACTTACAATGAATTTAAGCTTTCTGAAATATTTCTATTGAAATAAATCACTAAAAATTATACATTGTGTGAGGATGTTCTGTTACCATATTTGCATTTTATCATTAACGAAGTGTAAATCAACTTTAAACTGATTTTTTTTCTTTTCCTTTACAAAAGTAGTTGACAGGGATCATAGGCACAGAGAAAGTTCTGCCCGAATAAACTTTCATTGCTCTTCTGTAGCCTAGAATGAGAATGCGCTATGGCATATGGTCAAAGGGGGTCTTAGGACAGAAGGCAGTTGTAGAATAGTTCCACCTCCATCTCTCTCCCTGTAAATACATGATATGAGCAGTCCCCCAAAAAGACCTCTTTGCTAATACTTTATTCCATCGGTTCTAAGATAGGACATTTTAAACAGTTGTCCAGTCTATGAAGCCTTAAACAGTAGAAGTACAGAAATAACCTGTGTTGAGTCATTGGCTGGGGTGTTGGTTACTCTTACCTAAGAATTCCTCATGAACTCTGCCTCTAACTGGTTTAGAACCTTCCAGGCCAGAACTGAATGCCCTGTATAACCAAAACTCAGTTTTCAACAATTTTCTTATCTTGTTAGTGGCCTTTGAAAATTCTCTTACTCCTTTACAGGAACAAAAACAGAGTGACAATTCGCTGGTGCAGTCAGCCTGACTTCACTTCACACAGTGCCATCTTTGTCATTCATCAGTTTTCCGTGTATGCTTAAGCTTCTGGGTCCCATTTACTACTTCATCAGTCATTTGTCACTGAGCCAATACCATACTGTCCTCATGGCTATATAGCTATCCAAGTATCTGATGAAGTAATTGTATGTTCTTCAAAATTACCTTAGTTATTCTTGACTCTTTCATCTTTCTATAAAGTGTGGAATCAGCTTGACATGTTCGATGAAAATATTGTGACTTTAATTGGAATTGCTTTGGTTTATAGATTAATTTGAGAATTGACAGTTTTGAAAGTTGAAAGGTTTATTCTCTGTAAATATGAAATGTCTCCATTTAATATGAGCTTTTAATGTCTTTAAATGATGCTTTAAAATTTTCTCCATAGTGGTCTGAGACATCTTTTATTAGTTCATATGTAGATAATTGTTTTTACTATGACTTTTTTATAACATTTTTTCAATTAGTGCTATGTATAGGAATGCCTACTGATTTTTATATTTGATCCTTACAACCTTTTTGAAATCCTTTATCTTGTTTTAATAGTTTGTCCATATATTCTGTTGAAAGCAGCCTTAGCTGCAAATAAGGACAGTTGTCTCTCTCTTTCTAATTTTTTTTACCTAATCTCTGTTTCTTGTCTAAACTTTATTTGGCTAGGACTCCAGTACAGTATTGGACAAGAGTCAGTGATAGTTTATCACAAATCTTCATTACGTAGTCTTCTCAGAACACCTCAGTGTATCACACAGCCCCAGTATGAACCCTAATCTTAGTGTTACAACGAAGCCCAAGTATAATTTTCTTTTTCACATTTGATTTTTAGGTGAACTAATCTTCAACTTAAATTTCTGTTGTGTTTTGTTTGTAATGCATGTTTACAGTCTTAAACAGAAAATGAGTGGCCATTTATCCTCAGCCACCCTGGATGGCTCAACATTATCCAGTACCAATACTAAAATTCAATACCAGGCCATGAGGATATTACATGTTGCTACTTTAGATTTTGCAATAAATTTCTTTGTCTATGCCACTGATTTACAATTGGAAATGGGTTTGTCCCCCAGGAGATATTTGTCAGTGCCTGAAGACTTTTGCTTGTCACAACTGGGAGAGTTCCACTGGCAGTTCTTAAATAATTGAGAGAGGCAAGAGATGCTGCTGATCATCCTACAGTGTGTAGGATAAGCCCCTCAACAAAGAATTACCTAGTCAAAATGTCAGTAGTGCTCAGATTTAGAAACCCTAGTGTGTTGTTATTGCATCTCATAAATGCAACATATTGACTAACACCACAAAAATATATTCACAGCTGTCACCCATAATGTGCTATTTTTTAAGAATTTGTTGAGTTAAAAGCTGTTTCAATTTATAGCAGACTTAACAGGAATGTTCTAAATAAGTACAAATCTTCAGGAATGTTTGTCTTCTATGTGGTTCTTACCAGTCTGGAAGGATTACCCTCATTGCAGAAGGACAAAATAGGCTTTCAGGAGCTGGGGATTTAGCTCAGTGGTTCCACCACCTGCTTCTCAAGCATAAGGTCCCGAGTTCGATCCCCAGTACTAAAAAAAAAAAAGAAATTTAGGGCTGGGGAATTAGCTCAGTGGTCCCAGCACCTGCCTCGCAAGTGCAAGGTCCCAAGTTTGATCCCCGGTGCCAAAAAAATAGGCTTTCAGTGTGTCTGATTGCATCATTTATTAAACTAATCTGAGCTTAAACCTGAAGTTATCTGCTTTTTTTATTATAAAAATATATCCTCAGTACAAAAAGTTTACAAACTCCTCCTTTAGAGGCCCAGTTTAGCTCAGTGGTGCCGTCACCTACCTCGAAAGCACAAGGGCCTGAGTTTGATCCCCAGTACCAAAAAAGAAAAAAAAAAAAATTTAGAGTGAAAGTTTCAAGTCCTACCTCCCAGACTCCCTTTCCTATATGTAATAAAACATTAATCTTTGACTCGGGTTCCTGTAATCTTAGTCAGATTTCTTTCTAAGGCTCTAAAGATTTGACTTTCCTCCTTTCTCAGATTTATGGACAATTTAAGACCCTCACATTCCAGGATTGTCACAGCTAAAAACATAAACAATAGACCTTCCTTTAAATAGATTCATGATGTGTATTTTTTTTCACTTTATGAAATGATGTAACATCATAAAATAGCATCTTTAAAAAGCTTACATAAAATGGTTTGCATAAATAGTCAAAGAACATCTCTTGATGCTGAATAAACCAGCTGGCATTTCCAGCTCCTGTGTAACAGACAAGTAGCTCCAGATGTCAAGGTTCTTTAGTCAAAGCATCTTAGATGAGCTATATGAAATTGTCAGTATTTAACAATTTTTGACCTATAAAATGCCAATTTCATGTGGTTCATCCTAATATTTTCTTTAAAGAGGCCACCATCCCAAGCTCCTAGGGCAGAGAAGCTGAGCCAGTCCCAGCACCCAGAAGCAAGCTCCCCCGCCGCCATCCCAAGCTCCTAGGGCAGAGAAGGTGAGCCGCATGGGCAGGCGCCAGAAGCACACACACACACACACACACACACACACACCCGGAAATGGGAAGACACGTAAACAAGCCTCAAAAACAGACTCTGGATCACCTACAGCAACCCCAAAGGGAAACGAGATGGAACAATCTGAT